AACCTAGGGTAAAATAAATATTTTTTATACTTTCTTTTTAGTGTTTGCAATATATTTATTCTTAATGATATAAAAATTATTTTTAATATATCGAAAGGTTCAACACGAGTAAATTATATTACTAAGATGAAGAATGCATTCTAAATTAAATTCTGGCTAAATGTGCTGAGATCTAATAATTAAAACTCAAACTTGAGTAATTAATTATAATTTGATTTACAAAAATATAAACACATATACATTCATGCTTTTATTTAACAAAAAAGATAAAAAAAGGATTTCATAATAAATTAAAATTTTTATTATAAAAGGTATAACTAAATCAGCTCTTCAGATGTCATAGGCTTAGGCAATGCCTTCTAAAAATGTAGCAATCTTTCAGTTTTAGCACTTGATATGAGGTATAAATAAAAATTAATTAATTTTAAAATAAATACAAAACAAAATTAATTCCTTTTTGATAATTATTATATGATATCTTATTTTCAGAATTAGAAACAAAAAAAATAAATTAAATTAAATATTTAACTAAAAAGGGAAAATAAAATGAGTAAAGAAGGAATGCTTAGATTTTTTTCAACTTTAACAAAATGCAAAAACCTTAAAAAATTAACACTTATGCTTGGGTAAAGAAAGCAATTTTATTTAATTTTTAATTATTTTAATCATGCAGATTTTATTTAAAGAAATGTATTATTTCTTCTTTCTTAAATTAATTCAAAATAGCAAAATAAAAATGATATGAAATTTAAATAATCAAATGATTATTTATCTTTTTCTTAGAATGATTGAGTAATTAATTATGTTTATTTATATATATAATTCTCATAATTAATCAATGATTCAAAAGATATCGATATATCTATCTATCTATTTATCCATCTACTTATCTAATAATTTTAGTTCCAATTAAACAAATTTTTATTGTTTTTTATTTAACCTATTTTCCTTAGAAGTGTCTATCTGTCTCACCCTAATAAAATTTTATTTGCCATAATTTCCCCAAATATTAAAATATTTTCGAGATGGATGGGGTTGAGGGACATTTCTATGTGAAAAAAGGTATATATATAGATATATCATTCATATTAAAAATCAACTAATAAAAAATAAAGATTAATTAATTTAAAAAAAGGTTTCTTGGAATCAATGATCAGGACATACAAGCTTTGTGCCCTACTTTAGAAAATTTAAATAAGATTTAAACTTTGTTTCTAGATTTCTAGTAAATAAATAAATAAATTTATTTTACTTAAACTAAATATTTTAATATTTATTTAATAATTAAGTGAAAATAAATATGATTTATTGTCTTTTTTGTTTGTCTTTCTTTCTTTTTGAATAAACTTAACTTTTAATTAACTAATTTTAAAATAAAAAAAGTTGATATAACTTTAATTAATTAATTTTTTTTATTTATTAAAACTAAAAGATGGAATAAGATTAGCGATTAAGGTATCTTTTTGTTAAGTTCTACTTTAGCTAAATGTGCTAAGCTCTAAAATTTAACTGTGATTCTAAAGTAATTATTGATTTTTTTTCATTTTTTTATCTAAAAATTAAATAAATTTATTTGTATTTATTTGGTCTGTCATTTATTTGATTAATTTATTATAAAATATTTTATTTTAATATATTATAAATTTGATTCTATTTATGATAACATATCAATAATTATTTAATAATAGATATAATAGAATTAAAAATGATGGCTTATCTAATTTTTTTAGTAACCTATCCGAGTTAAAATATCTCAATTTTTTCAAGATTGAAGGCTTTTTGTAATTAAATCTATCTATATTCTTTATTAGCTTTATTTATTTATTTAAAAATTAATTTGAAGAATTAATTTTTTTCAAAGAAAAAGTTTTTAAAAATTATTTTTTATTTAAGTTAATAAAATATATAGAGATTACGAATGAATTAAATTTTGATTGAATTTTATTTTTTATATTAAATAAACTCTAAGGTTTTTTTAACTTACTTTTAAAATTAGTTATAGTTTTCGTCCAATCTTTTTAAAGAGGAAGTTAATGAGGCTATTGAAGATTATAATTAAATGAAAATAATAAATTACAAGGAAGGAGCAAAACAAACAATTTGGTTGTTTAAGAAAATCTAAAATATTAAATACACAAAATTAAATATCTATTATGTTTGTAATATAATAATCACAAAAACATTTTATTTATGAATTTTAAATTATTTTATTATTTTTGCTACTTAATTTAATTCGATATTCTTAAAAAAGGAATATAAAAATCAAATCTAATATACAAAAATAAAAAACAAACGGGAATTTACAAGAGGGGCAATTAATTTAATAGATCAGCGTTCCAGAATAATGCTTCATCCTTAATTATATCCTCTTTGTCTGTTTCTCGTTTTTAAAATGAATTTTTCATTTTTATTAACATTATCAAAAAACCATACTAACTAGCTAACTGATGAATAGAATCACTAACTTTTGTCCTTAAAATTTTTAATAGAGATGAGGTAGATTAAAAAGTTTTGAGCTTTTAATAATAAATAAATTTTATTTTATTTTAAAGCAGGAATTAATGATAAGGATTTTTAAAAAAAATTTTTATGGGTAGTAAAACTAAATAAATAAATTATAAATGAAAAGAATTAATTATAAAAAATTAAATTGAGCTTGAATATACTGATAAATTAAAACAAATATATGGATATTTAAAGGTATGTAAAATTAAAAAAATAAAATATAAAACGAGTACGATTTCCCATATCTTACTCTGTGACAAAATATCCCGGATGTTAAGTTCTCTTTTAACTAATTTATTTTTTCTATTTAATAAAACTAAAAGATGGAATAAGATTAGCGATTAAGGTACCTTTTTGTTAAGTTCTACTTTAGCTAAATGTGCTAAGCTCTAAAATTTAACTGTGATTCTAAAGTAATTATTGATTTTTTTTCATTTTTTTATCTAAAAATTAAATAAATTTATTTGTATTTATTAGGTGTGTCATTTATTTGATTAATTTATTATATTATAAATTTGATTCTCTTTATGATAATATATCAAAAATTATTTAATAATAGATATAATAGTATTAAAAGTGATGGCACTGCTAATTTTTTTAGTAACCTATCTGAGTTAAAATATCTCAATTTTTAACAGATTAATGGCATGTAATTAGATATATCTAGATTCTTTATCAGCTTTATTATTTATTTAAAAATAAATTTGAATGATATTTGACTGAATTTTATTTTTTATATTTAATAAACTCTAAGGTTTTTAAAATATTAACTTACTTTTAAAATTAGATATGATTTTAATCCAATCTTTTTAAAGAGGAAGTTAAAGAGGTTAGTGAATATTATTAAATGAAAATAATAAATTACAAGGAAGGAGCAAAACAAACAATTTAGTTGTTTAAGAAAATCTAAAATATTAAATACATAAAATTAAATATTTATTATATTTGTAATATAAAAATCACAAAAACCTTTTATTTATGAATTTGAAATTATTTTATTATTATTGCTACTTAATTTGATTCAATATTCTAAAAAAAGGAATATAAAAAAAAATTTTGTTTTGTATTAAAAATAAAAAATTTCTATCTACTTTTATTAAAATCCAAATTTAATTCAATCAAATCTGATATACAAAAATAAAAAACAAACGGGAATTTACAAGAGGGGCAATTAGTTTAATAGATCAGCATTCAAGAATAATGCTTCATCCTTAATTATATCCTCTTTGTCTGTCTCTCGTTTTTAAAATGAATTTTTCATTTTTATTAACATTATCAAAAAACCATACTAACTAACTAACTAACTAACTAACTAACTAACTAACTGATGAATAGAATCATTAACTTTTATCCTTAAAATTTTTAATAGAGATGAGAAAGATTAAAATGTTTTGAGCTTTTAATAAAAAATAAATTTTATTTTAATTTAAACCAGGAATTAATGATAAGGATTTTTTTTAAAAATGTTTATGGGTAATAAAAGTAAATAAATAAATTATTAATCAAAAGAATTAATTTTTTCTTTAGAAAAACGAAAATATTTTATAAATCAAAACTACTTAGAGCAGCCAAATTAGATGAAATAATTAGATTCTAAAGAAATAATTAAATTAATTATTTTATGATTTTAAATAATATAAAATGAAAAAAATGATAATAAGATAAATTAAAAATTTGAGAAAAAAAACAAAAATAAACATAACAACCACAAAAGTTAAAATAAAAAGTAAAACTTGATTTCTCGCTGATGTTTTATTTAAATCATGGCATCTAATTAATCAAGATAAATAAAAAAAGGATAAAAATATGATTGATGGATAATATTTAAGATTAAAATATAACTGGCATATAAAAGTTTGGCATTTATATAATTTAATAAGATATAATATAACACTAAAAGTTTCAAATTATTTGATCGTTTTTGGAGAAACCAGAGGGTTTGCTTATGAGGATTTAAATTTTTATTTTTTATAAATAATTTATTTACTTACAAAATATGAATGATATTTATAAATATAAATCAATAATAAGATCTATCTATCTAAATATTTATATTTTAGGTTAAAAACACTTTTTCAAAATATTATATAATAAAATATATAATATTATTCAAACATTTTATATTTATTCACCCTTTTTTCGCAAGGTGTATATTTAGAAATCAACGGCAACTAATCTTTTTGATTTAAGACACTTGCTTATTACTTTGAATTTTTATGATTCATTAATTAAGCTAAAAATTTTAAAATAAATTTGTGTAAATTTTAAAATAAATATCATTGAATAAACTTTTAAATTAAAAATTATTCTTTAAATTAATAAATTAAATAATATTAGTGGAATAAAAAAGATAAAAAAATAAAATAAATAAAAGCTATCAAATAAATACAAAGAGCTTTTTTGTTTTATATTCATTTTTTTTGTTTAAAATATCACAATCCAAAACAAATAAACTGTTTTTACTCAAGACGAAGTGTCAAATTTGAGAGATTTTTGCAATTTGCTAAACCAGAACCTAAGCCTGATGCACCCATTGCACCAATTTAATTGTAACTTTTTAAATATTGAAGAAAAAATATATCATTAAATAGTTAATTACAAGGAAAAAATTAATAAAAATATGAAATAATAAGAAATAAATAATAAAAGCAAAAGTTGAAAATAAAATGATGAGCTAAATTAACAAAGAAAGAACAAAAAAAAAGCAAGCACAATAAAGAAAAAAGAAAAAAGAGGTTTATTGTTTTTAATTAGTTTTTATAATTAAAAATATCACAATCCAAAACAAATAAACTGTTTTTACCGAAGTTAAAGTGTAAAATTTGAGAGATTAATGCAATTTGCTAAACTAGAACCTAAGCCTGATGCACCTTCATCACCAATTTTATTGTTACTTTTAAATATTGAAGAAAAAATATATCATTAAATAGTTAATTAGAAGGAAAAAATATGAAATAAAGATTAATTAATAATAAAAGCAAAATTTGAAAATATGATGAGCTAAATTAACAAAGAAAGAACAAAAAAAAGCAAGCACAATAAAGAAAAAAGAAAAAAGAGCTTTATTGTTTTTGATTAGTTTTTATAATTAAAAATATCACAATCCAAAACAAATAAACTGTTTTTACCTAAGATCAAGTATCAAATTTGAGAGATTAATGCAATTTGCTAAACCAGAACCTAAGCCTTATGCACCCATTGCACCAATTTAATTTTGACTATATTGAACAAAAAATATGTCATTAAATAGTTAATTAGAAGGAAAAAATGAAGAAAAAATACGAAATAAAGATTAATTAATAATAAAAGCAAAATTTGAAAATAAAATGATGAACTAAATTAACAAAGAAAGAATAAAAAAAAGCAAGCACAATAAAAAAAAAAGAAAAATGAGCTTTATTGTTTTTAATTAGTTTTTTTTATTAAAAATATCACAATCCAAAACAAATAAACTGTTTTTACTCGAGCTAAAGTGTAAAATTTGAGAGATTAATGCAATTTGCTAAACCAGAACCTAAGCCTGATGCACCTTCATCACCAATTTTATTGTTACTTTTAAATATTGAAGAAAAAATATATCATTAAATAGTTAATTAGAAGGAAAAAATGAAGAAAAAATACAAAATAAAGATTAATTAATAATAAAAGCAAAATTTGAAAATATGATGAGCTAAATTAACAAAGAAAGAACAAAAAAAAGCAAGCACAATAAAGAAAAAAGAAAAAAGAGCTTTATTGTTTTTAATTAGTTTTTATAATTAAAAATATCACAATCCAAAACAAATAAACTGTTTTTACTAAAGATCAAGTGTCAAATTTGAGAGATTAATGCAATTTGCTAAACCAGAACCTAAGCCTTATGCTCCCATTGCACCAATTTAATTTTGACTATATTGAACAAAAAATATGTCATTAAATAGTTAATTAGAAGGAAAAAATGAAGAAAAAATATGAAATAATAAGATTAATTAATAATAAAAGCAAAAGTTGAAAATAAAATGATGAACTAAATTAAGAAAGAACAAAACAAAAAAAACACAATAAAAAGAAAAAGAAAAATGAGCTTTATTGTTTTTAATTAGTTTTTATAATTAAAAATATCACAATCCAAAACAAATAAACTGTTTTTACAAAAGGTAAAGTGTCAAATTTGAGAGATTAATGCAATTTGCTAAAGCAGAACCTAAGCCTGATGCACCTTAATCACCAATTTTATTGTAACTTTTTAAATATTGAAGAAAAAATATATCATTAAATAGTTAATAAGAAGGAAAAAATGAATAAAAATATGAAATAATAAGATAGATTAATTAATAACAAAAGTAAAAGTTGAAAATAAAATGATGAGTTAAATTAACAAAGAAAGAACAAAAAAAGCAAGCACAATAAAAAGAAAATGAAAAAAGAGCTTTAATGTTATTAATTAGTTTTTATAATTAAAAAACATCACAATCCAAAACAAATAAACTGTTTTTACCCAAGACAAAGTGTCAAATTTGAGAGATTTTTGCAATTTTCTAAAGCAGAACCTAAGCCTGATGCACCTTCATCACCAATTTAGTTGTTACTTTTTAAATTTTGAAGAAAAAATATATCATTAAATAGTTATTAGAAGGAAAAAATGAAGAAAAAATATATCATTAAATAGAGTAAGTTACCATAAAAATTTACAAAAAGCGAGTTTAATATATCAGTTATTATATTTTATAAAATTAAAATTTTAAATATTTTTTATGAAACTTTTTCCATCCTAGGTTTTCAAAATTTATTTTTTTCAAAAAAATGATATTTTATGCTTTCTAAAAATTAGCTTTATTTATAATGTTATTTAGATATAATTTAAATTGGTATTTCACAATAGTTAATTAGGAGTAAAAAATGAAGAAAAAATATGAAAAATAATAAGATTAATTAATTAAAAATTAATAAAATTAACAAATAATGAAAAAATAAGAAATCATAAGAAAAAGAAAAAGGAAAACAAATCAAATAAATTAAAAGAACTTTAATGTTTTAATTTGACTTTTATAATTAAAAATATTACCATTTAAAACAAATAAATAGCTTTTATTAAGTGTAAATTTTAATAGCAAAAATGAAGAAAAAATATCCAATAATAAAAAATGAATAATAAATAATTGATTAAAAATTTAAATGAAAATTAAGTTAAAATAGCTAAAAAATTATAGATTTAATAAAAATGAATGAATGAATAATGATGATAATTTCTTTTATAAAAATTATTTATTTATTTATTTATTTAAATAAATTGAAAATTAAATATACAAAAATATTAATAATAATAAAAATAATATTTATAAATAAAATATACTTGAGATTAATTTCAAGAATCTAATGAGATAAAAGTGAAGAGCTTAAAAACTTTTTTTATTAATTAATATAAATTTAAAGGATATTAATAAAAAAATTAATAATTACTTCTTCTAATTCGTAATATTCTTTAATCTATTATTTCATTTTTTTTTTTTTCAAAGATATTGAATAGCAATTTATGAAATTTAATTAATTAATTATAAATGGATAAAAAGAACAAATAAATATAATAATTAATTAATTATCAATTATTAATTTATATATTTGGTTTTATGATGAGATATCACAGAAAAATTAATTTAACATTCACTATTTAAACTTAATATTTGTATTTAAAGCATATACTTAAAAATATATTTAGTAGGAATTAGAGATGGCCAGTTATTTATTTAGTCATATTTGAAAAAAACATATTCTTAAATATTATAAAAATAATATTTATAAGTAGATTTTTCTGTTTTAACTCTGTAATTATAGGAATATTTATAATATCTCTAATTAAAGCATGATGCCATACAAAAATTTCATGGTTTGCCTGCCACTTATTATGAAATATATTTTTTATTTATTTATTTATTTATTAAAAAATTTAATTTTTATTTATATTTTATAATAGAATTATAATTAATAAATAATTTAATTTATAATAATTTCAAAAATAAATATTTTTTTACATCAAAATAATTTTTTTAAATTTTACCTATTCAAATATATTTTTTATCCTTTATGTCCAATCTCTAGTTCCTACTATATTTTTAAGCACACATTTTAAATAGATAAATTAAAATTTAATAATGAATATTTCACTAACTTTGTTGTGATTTCTCTTACTAAATAAAAGCAAATTTATAAATTCATATAATTAATTTTTTATTTTTATCCACTAAAAATTCATATAATTAATTTCGGTAAATCGTTATTCAATATTAATAATTATAAGAAAAATAAATGATAAATTAGAACAAACAATTTAAAAAGTTAGATGATGTAATTAACCATTAATTAGTTTATATAAATTATTTTAAAAATTCATTTTTATTATAAAAAAGTTTCTAAACTCTGAACAACAATTTCCTTCTCACAATTATCTTGAAATAGTCTTAGAGTGAAGAACTTTAAATTTTTATAATTAACAATTAAAAATTTATCTTAAAAAATAATAAACCAATTACTAACTAACTCTTTTTAATAAAAATAATAAACAACCTTTTTCTTTTTGGTTGGAATTATTTTTTGTTTATTTCACAAATTAATTAATTCCAAATTTAAAATTCTTTATTTTTGAAGAATTAATTTGTTTCTTATAATAATATTATTAATAATTGTCAAATTTTATAAAAGAAAGAATAATTTAGTTGATGAATTAAGTCTATCAAGATTAAGTTCAGGTTTAGGAAAATGCATTAATCTTTCATATTTAACTCTTGATTTCATGTAAATTAAATTAATGTTTGTTTTGTTAGAATAACTTTTTAATACAAACCAATAAATTTTTTTCCTTTTTTATTTTTTATGTAATTAATTTATGATTTTTAAATTCTATTTTAGTTTTGAAATATTTATTATTTATTGATTTTATTCTAAACTTTCTATTATATTATTATATAAATAAAAAGGAAAAATAAAATAGGTCAATATAATATATCAGAACTAGGCTCTTAATTGGTAAAATGTGCTAATCTCTCAAATTTGAAACTTATCCTTGAGTAAAAATTAAATATTTCATTAAA